GAGAAGAATTTCTTAAAATATATTAAGGATTTCGATTTCGATGGGCTGTGTTTCTATCCTGAAATGTCCAATGAAGAATATTATCGTTTTTCCATGTAGCTATCGTCTCTATATTCATAGAAGAACGAAGATTCTAGTGCAACGCAAATAGAATACTTAAATTGAGGCTAGACAAATTCTAATATTTGATGCATTGCTAATAAGTGTAATGCTTAGTACGGCTACGCGCGATCGACAAAGTTGGCCGGGACATTCCTATTGGATACACGCACAAAAATACAAACACAGATCAACGCGCAGACAGTAAAGCTTGTGGCGACATGGGGGAATAGTTCATCACTATTGAGCGAGTGTGCGGGCAGCTGCTGCAACCAAGTTTTCCTCAGACGGCCGCGGGGACACTCTCATGTGGATGAGGGTCGAATTCGACTCTGTGGGTCGGCTTGGAGCATTATGATACGGTATTTGTTCTGATAGATGTACCGTTCGAGAAGAACTGCTTTCTTTGTGGTAATGTAGGCTTCGCCTCCACTTGAGGCATGTTTGTTCTCGTGACTTAGAGTCGCAATGCGAGAACTGCATTATTTCCGAGCGGTCTTGCTTTTCGCTTTGACCCTGATTGACCGCACAGTTGGTAGAGCGCCAGATTGGTAACTTAGCAACCGTGGGTTCCAGTCCTGATCAGGTCACTAGCCGATCATCATGCTAAGGTAGACAGTTGAGTGCAACTTCGTGGCAAGGAAATATGCAACAATACGTGCAGTCATGTTATGTCACCTTGCTGTAGACATTAAGAAAAGAACTGCGCGCTACTGGATGACACCGGAAAGGAGATGAGTGCCATATCACAACCTCCAAAAAAAGGAGGCTTCAAATAAACGATGCCTCATAACGGAAGTGCAAACGAGACTGACGTCCTAAAGATAACGTGCAAACTAATGTCCATGCGTCACAACACTTGATACTGAAACGAGTCATTTAAACTAAGCCTTCAGTGTCGAAAATCAGATGAGAACGATGAAAGGGACCGCTCAAAGCACACACACACTTCTAGTGTCTTCTAATGTGACTGCCAACCAATGCGTGATCGGTTTTAAGAAAGTTCGCCACCGCAGAAAGCCACTTTCTCTTCGTCTTGCAGTTTTATCCAAATTCTGGGGCTTGCCATTTGCCTTGAACTAACTATGGGAAATGAGGCTGAACTAGATAGATTCGCGCGGCTCGAATCCGCGTGGCGAAAAGCTTTATTGCCGAAACGTCGTTGCGGACCGGCTTCGCTTTCCACAACATTACAGTAAGAAGTACTTTCGGAAAAACTTTACGTT